CTGGTCTAGGGAGCTGTATCCAGAACTCGCCTAAATGCACATCTGGATGGCTCCTGGGAATGAGCAAACTCTTGAAGGGGAAGAAAAGAGTCAGGAGTCATCCCAGTTGCTGCTCTGAGCACTCCTGTTTGCCTAATTCTGTCTTAGGTTGGCACACCTGAGGGATTTTCAGAGACTGGGGATAACGACCCTCATGCTTTAAAAGATCTCTTGCCATGGCAACCTACAATGCTTTTGTCAATTTGAGAGCTTGTTAGCATCACATCTTTGGTTTATCCTTTCCTTATAAGTGAGTTTTCTTCTACAATGCACAGTAGCAGCATGCTAACAAGAGCTCAAATCCATTTTCAGAACAAAGGAGAGAATTTCTTTTTTTTTCCATTTTACTTCCTTTGTTCAGCTCTTAGGCCAATCAGATGGTCACACTGTTTGGACTACCCCTTTATTTTCCTTTTGCTCATGGGGGGGGGGCACACTTCTTTGCACGGGTACCCAGGCACCAGCGCTGGATTTTGGAAGGCATGCATATCCCTCAAATACAAATGCCCAGCCATATACATGACAAAACAGTTGTTTGTGTTCTCCATACACAGGGAGACCTGTGAGCATGCAATGCTCCCTGCCTGATGCCTCTCAAGAGTGAGAGGTTCCTAGCTGACATAACCTTCTTTTCATGAGAATAAAAGAGAAGGTTATTGAGTCTATGAGCTAATCTGTCTAATTAGATGCCTCTAAGCAAAATGCATAAGATTTGCATGAATTATCTTAACATGCAAAGAATAGGACACGGGAAGAAAAACTCGAGGAAATTTGCATTTAGATGGTGAGGGGGGGAGTTTACCAACTAGGGTCCATTCTTTTATGTTTTGGAGCGATACTTAAGAGGAGCTGCAGATGGATGGTTACGTCAGTAAAGACTGCCATGCATTTTTAGACTTTTAAGCAGTTGCTCCAAGCCTTCCTCTGCCCCATGCAGGGTGAAACAGGCCCACAGCTCCCATCAGGAAGCTTCATTAAGGCAGTGAGTGGGAATCGGTTTCAGTCCTGGCTGCGGGCAGCCTGAAGGACAATCCCTTCTGGGCCTCTAGGTGGCACTGTTGCATCTGTTCTTAGAGGCCCTGTGCTTTGGCTGGCTACATCGCTGAGGTGGAAAATGGTGGAAAAGGACGGGGCATGCATGCCTCCTTCTCCTTTCCCATCTAACCTCCTAGCACCACTGTCCACTCCACCCGAGAGCATCGTTCCATGTCTAACTCTATATGATTCATTTAAAACTAGCAGTTCTTGGGCTTCCAAGATCTGCTCATTTATTTGAAAGCTCCCCCGCCTGAAAGTTTGCTTGCCTCCTTTGGTCCTTTCTGCTTTTCATTTCCACACTGTTGCTGGCACTCACAGGTTGCTGGGGGAGGGGGTGATTCTGGAAGAAGGGATATCCAGTCTGTGTCTTGGCCCCAGAAGATGTGACGGTTAGTAACGAAAGTCAGAGCTAAAGGGAGTATATGTGATCAGAGGTGGTATACAGACTAGAGTTGGATTTCGGGCAGGAAGCAACAGCTTCCCTGTCCTGCTCCATTCTTGCTGGCAGTCAAGAAAGCATCTTTTCTCTTGGACTGACGGTTTGAACCAAGAAGTTGGTGAGACATGCCTTAGGACAACTATTTGGGGATATGAGGCTAGAGGTTTTAGGACTGCCTCAGTTTCTACAGTGCTAAGAAGTCTGCTAACTTCCTGGGGAAACAAAAAACTCCTAGAAATTAGGTATTTGGAATGTGATAGAAGGTTCAGGAGATAGGAGCCAATTCTCAAAACGTCATAGTATGCAATGAAGAAAACAAACAAAAAATAATACTTAAGCTGGGTGGTGGTGGCGAAAGCCTTTAATTCCAGGACTTGGAGCAAGAGGCAGGCAGATATGGCCAGCCTGGTCTATATAGGTTACAGGAAAGCCAGAGCTACAGAGAAACCCTATCTTGAAAAAGCAAGCAAACAAACAAACAAAAAATTGGATAGCTCTTTACCAAGTTTCCATCTTGTTAAGTTTTGGACATGGAATGTCGCTTACCCAGTCATCTTTTGAATGTTTTGCCCTGATTACTGGTATTACTTTATTTTGGCAGGCAGTGGGAACTTTAGGACATGGAGTCCACCTGGAAGTGGTTGTATGCCTGGGTGGTGATACTTAATCCCCGGTTCCTTCCTTGCTCCCACTTCCTGTTTCCTATGTGATGTCTGTCCAAGCACCGGGGATGTGGCAAGCATGAATGGAACTCTGTGAAGTAGGGAACCTGTTGTATGTTGTCTTACTCTTTGGCTCTTTTGGGGGACCCACCACCCAAATACTTCACATATGGAGGTTTATTTTTTAGTTAGGAATGCCCCTCCTTAGCTTGGCCTGCTTCTTTCCAGCTTTTCTTAACTTAAATTATCCCATCTACCTTTTGCCTCTGGGCTTTTATCTTTCTCTTCCGTAAATCTTACTTTCACTTCTTTCTCTGTGACTGGTTGGGTGGCTGGGTGGCTGGGTACCTGGTTCCTGATGTCCTCCTCTCCTTGTTCTCTTGCTGCTCCTCCCCTTCCTTGGTTCTCCTCCTATTTATTCTCTCTGCCTGCCAGCCCTGCCTATCCTTGCTCCTGTCTTATGATTGGTCATTCAGCGCTTCACTAGACCATCGGGTATTTTAGACAGGCAAAGAGTCACAGCTTCACAGAGTTTAACAAATGCCGCACAAACAAAAGTCATACACCTTAAAGTAATATTTCCCCAACAGGAACCCACGTGAATCTCCCCCTTCAAGGTATGTTTCTCAGATATCTGATGGGCAAATTGCCCCTCTTCCTCCCCTTCTAATAATCTTCTCCCTTCCTCCCAGCACTATTGTTATAAAGGCACTCAGCACTCAGGGTGTAGGGAGAACCAGACTCAGTCCCTCAAGTTCTGATTTTCTTTTTTATTCTCGAACATACGCTTCTGTTGAGAAGCAATATTCAAGTCTGTCAGAGCAACATTTGCCCTACTCGACACCTAAGAATCAAACTAGATACTATGCTTAAGGCGAAGTAATAAGAAACGCGCCAGCTTTCTCCCGCAGTTTCCATTATTTTATCTTCTTAAATGAAAAATCTGACTTCCTATTGACTCCAGAAGCAATACCTTTAGGGTACAATGCCTGTTCTCTTGTCAAATTTGCTCTAGTTCCTTCGGCTTATCACTTTCTTTTCCTATGCCTCAGTTGTGTTCTCTGTAAAATAGGCTGAATGTCTAGGCTTCAGACACCTTTGGGAAATTAATACTTTAAGTGTCACCAGATGTTTAAAAAAATTATTTTAAAGGTGACAGACAAGCATTTTATCAGTGCTTTTATAGCAATTTATTAAGCCCAAGCCTTCGGGAATTCCTTAAGAATATATGATTTCCTTTGTCTTATTGCATCTTTGAGTTTTGCATAAGTTTATAATGGATGAAATAGTACTTAACAGCTTCATAAACCAAGGGTTCTGCACTTCATTCTTATTATCTTAACTAATGAATTTTGCCAGGCATCTCTGTTATAGCCGTATGATTTATAAAGATTATATTTACTTTTTCTCCTTATAAGAACCTAATGAGACCAAATTGGTTGCATGTAATCAGACACCGGCCTTTTTCATCTCTTCGGGTTTTATTTACGAAAGCTTATTAGAGCAAACGCACTGAGTAATGTGCAGCGATAGCTAGGTTTTGCCTAATGATCCCAAACAGCTAACACAGAATGCAGATAATGAAATGACAGGCCGACTACAAATGCAGGAGGGGAAGGAGGTGCATGCCGGCTATTTCTAAAACCCTTACCTAGGCAGAATGCCCATTAACAGACTCCGACCTAAGAACATACACTGTGCAGATAACGAGCCCTTTAAGAGTGTAGCATTTATCTGAGGAACTGAGGGTTGGCTTCTGTTTCCCATCCATGTAGGACTCGGTAGAAGGACTACGTGTAAAGTGCTCATGCAGAATGATGTACACGAAGCGGCCAAGACTGGAGAGCCAATTCATAAATGAGAGGAGGCAATTCATTGGGCTACTTTCACCACTTACAATTAAAATGAATGCTTAGCACTCATATGGGCATTTTCCTTTTTAGAGGCAACCCGAATGGAGTCTGTCACTTATCCATCCTCTCTCAAGATGTAAACAAAACATTACACTGGGCCAGCTGCCTATTACCAGTGCTGCCATGACTCTCTGTCATCGACACTCTTTGACACAGAACATCTTCATGCCTTCCTTAATACCACATTCCTTTATTTCTAATTAAATAAAGATGCATTCCAATTTCAGCAGCAGAGCATCGAATGGGTCTGTTTTTCTAATCTGATTTAGAAGTCCCAAAGATGAGGGATAACTTGATTGCTTTCCTAGATGTCAACCTTAAGTATTTTTAATCCACTGCAGCATTCTATTTCTTTGATGGCATGGAAATTCACAAAGCTTTGCCAAGCCATGACTGAAACCATTTACACACTTATTTCCTCTCTCTACCAGCTGCTGGTGTGATGTGTTTGGTACGTTTATTATCCTTTGGGTGAACAACTTCCTCCATAAAGTTGCAGAGTGTCCCCTTTGACCGGTATTTTGAAATTTGGTGCATAAATCTCTTCACCTTCCGTTACCGTTACTGGAGATTTTATAGTTTAACACGACGTTCCCCGTCTACTCCATATTTCAGGCATCTGATGCCTGCAGACCGTGGATATCTAGGAGGTTTGTAAGGCATTCTCTTTGAGATATCACACCAGGAGAACAACATCAGGCTATTTATTTTATCTATTTTTTTCCTGAACTTTGCTGAAAGTAGAAAGGGGGTAGTGATTATAAAATCAGAGACCATCAGAGGTCGTTATTATTGTAGAATGAAGAAAGCTAGGCTCAAAGGAGTGAGGCAAGCAGTTCAAGGTCATGTTAGCTTAAAGGGCTGCAAATTGGACCTGGACTCTCAGAATAATGTATATTCCAGACTTACTGAAGTTGCATTTGGAAGCTCTTCTTCCTCTGCTATCCACATGTAGCCACAAGTTCTCACAGTCACGGGCATCGAGGGCCAGCATGAGGGATTCTTTTCCAGGGTTTTCCTTTGTTTGCTCTTGTAGTACTGATGAAGGTGTTTCACACGTGCCAGGCATCTGGAGCCGCTTTTCAACTGCTTGCTCAATTGTCTCAACTGGCTCTGCAGCCCTGGGTCAGGGCTTTCTTGTCTGATATCACTGTGTTGGGGTCTTTGGTCCCCAAGGAAAACATTTTGATTGGTTATTCCATTCTAAAGAGAGATACTCAGGATGCAAATTCTTAAGTGTTTCTTAGTCTTCTTTTCCTGCCTCTTTCTCTGAATTATGTAAAGGGTGAACACTTGGGAGTTGAGTATTTGGGAGTTCACAAGCTCTCACTCTGGCAGGGAGGTTTTTCTCAAGGTTCACTGCTTCTTAATGCTGACTGGGTTGCAGCTGGTCCTTTGTGTCTTATTCTAATGCCTACTTTGGCACAGTTACAGCTCCCTCAATTCTAGATCCCAGAAGAATGCATGGGGGGCAAAAATGATCATGGATATGACTAGATATAGGGTCCCTTGAGAAAGACTGTGCATGGCAGAGGGAAGGGGGCAAGGAAGGCAAGCTTTCCTCACAACTCTGCTCTAACCCATCGCTCATTTTTTTATTGCCTCCCCTTTCCCGCAGCTTCTGGCTCACTTTCCCTCATTTTATTCTGTTTTATAGTTTTTAATCTCTTTTCTCTGTTGCCCCTTTTGTACCTCTTGCAGTCCCCTCTTTGGCTCATTTCTTCTTGGACATTACATTATCCCAGAGAGATGTCCCCTGGTGAACTTTCTCCAGTTCTCTGCCCATTTTAGCCACTTTTGCCTGTTTTCCCATTTGCTTGTGCTGCTGGAGCTCTCGAATTTGAAGGTAACTCCTTTTTGCATGCAACGTATATACGGTGTCCTTCCAGGGCTTGGTGCTCCTGTTCCCTCTGTAGTGAAGTTTTAGAGCCTGAAGGAATTTATTCCCCAAGCACCTTGGACCCACACTTGTGGACATCTTCTTGTAACAATGGTGCAAGTTATAACTTACATTGTACTTGGCAGTTTGCAGGGTGTTTTTACAGGCCTTGCCTTCAAGTAAGCTACTTGACATGCCTGAGATGTATGCTTCCAAGACTGGACAATCCTACCTCTGTTCCTTTGTAAACCCAGAATAGCAATGCCATGAGTTCCTTCCACCATGTTGTATAGAAGTTCCTTGGACACAATAGACACTGAGTTTTCACAGTGGGCTTGTAAATTTATTTGAGTTGTGCCTGGTACAGCTTTATTCTAACTTAAGGGAAGTCAGCATAGAACACTAGAATTTACAGAAATGCTTGCCATTTATCACAGGGCTTATAGCCCTCTTCTTAGTGTATTTAGATTGTATTTATTTTAATATCCCAATTTAATTAATATGGAAAATATACACAGATTTAACTCAGAGTCAAATTGATAGCATACAAAATTACTGAAGTTTTAGTTAGTGACCTGGTGGTATGTCATGTACAGAGGTGACTTTGTCATCTAGTAGGTGTATGATGACAGCTTTGGTCAACATGAGCTGACCAACAATATATGGTGGTCCATGAGAGTCTAGTAACACCGCAGACATCGTGTGTGTGTGTGTGTGTGTGTGTGTGTGTGTGTGTCTGTAAAACTACTTAACCAACTGTACTCTTTCAAGATCATCCAATGATATAATTGCCTAGTAGCATATTTCTCAGTGTGTCTCCATAGTTAAACCATATGTTACTGTGTTATGAATCATAAAGTCTTAATTTACAGAAAAGTAAAGTTAGAAAATATGGAGGGAAAGAACAACGGTTCCCTAGGGTTTTGTCCAGACCCTCAAATCTAAAGTCTGTCCTATGACAGCTAACTCGAAGGAATTACTTTCACATGTCACATACTCTCACACCACCCCCTCTTAGTCTCTGTACACACACACACTTTTCAAGTGGGAAGGGGCAGCCGGCTACCATTATGGCCTTGCTTGTGATATTTCTCAACCTTGTTTCGACTGTTATTCTAAGTTCAGTGAGGTTCATTCCTTCCGTGCTCCAGAGGTCACTTTTCCCATGGCCAATGCATCGTTCCTACACCCCAGGGCCGGGCTAGGAAACTTACCATCTCCTTGAGCTGGCCCCAGCTCCTTGCCTAGTCCACCCATGGGAGAACGAACCCTCCTTGGCTCTCTTCTCATGGAAACAGCCAACCTTAGTCTGCTCTTTTCTCTCTCCTGCTCTTGAAAGCCAATTTCCTGCTTCAATCTTATTCTTATGAATAGAAACACAGAGCCTGCATGGAGAATGAGAAACTACTGTATCATAGGAAGCAATCACACAGAACACAAAAAGCCATTCAAAGTAATTAAACTACTCCCATCCCCTTTCCTATATTTCTTTTCAGCTCTGCGCTGATGGGCTGTTTATCTTTGCCACCACAACAGCCTCGGCAGCCCGCAGTGGCGGCGGGCGGAAAGACAAGCCATTTTCTGCAGGGGCTCACGCCGAGAGGGCAGAATTAAGACAAACACTTTCATTCTTGGCTGCCAGAGCATTTTAACTCTTGAAAAACAAGGGAAACAAACGCCATCACACCCCCACTCTGCGGCCCCCGGCGCTCCCCCCACCCCGAAATAAAATAAATAAAGACCTTGAGGTGGCTGTGGGGGAACTTGGAGATGGGTTTCCATTTGTCAGAGGGAGGGAAGGGAATAGGGGAGTTTTGGTATGGAGGTGGGGGGGTGCTGAGACATTATCTTTGTGGGCTCTGGAAGCCTTTGTTCCCTTCAGCTGTGCTTTGGAGGTGCAGCTCTGCTCCCAGCTGCGCAGAAGCTCGCAAACATCTAAGAAAAGTGTCTGAGACTGGCGCTGGCTCAGGAGGGGACAGCTGGGTAGGGAAGTGGAACCACAGGTTCACAGCGATCAGAGATGAGTTAACAGGGCGCTCCTTGATAACACCTGCAGAGATTGTCTTTCCCGGGCAGCTGCAGCAAGAGTGAGCGGAGAGGTTGGCCTGAGGGCTCTTTAATAGTTCTTCACCCCTCTGTCTGGCCCTAGAATGTGGCCCGAGAATGCTTGTGGCAGCTGCTTCAGCGGGTAGTCTCTTGAGGGAGCCCCCAGGGACATGAGAGTAGAAGAAGAGATGGACGACTTAGAGGGGCTGAGTAGCAGCTATTCTGCCACCTGTCACACATGCACCTGGGAGGTTTGTTTCCTTGTGAGTGGGCTTCAGTCAGAACAGGTACTGTTGGCCTTTGGCGAGAGTGCTCCAGAGAGTTGCCTACAAAAGAGCTTCCAAGCACTCCTTAAGCCATCTACTCAAGAACTGCACAGATTAGGTGGGGCATGAGAGGCATTGAAAAGAACCTTGGAAGAACTCACCAGAGATGGCTGTGCCATTGCAAATCTGAAAGGTGGAAGCCGGAGGGTCTGGAGTTTGAGGTCAACATGAGCTTCATAGATAGACCCTGCTAACACACCACACACACACACAAACACACACAGAGAAAACCCCTACTCAAACCAAACTACCAACAACAGCAACTTGTAGCCACAGGTTTCCTGGGGAACAGGCTGAGCATCTTTCTGCTTCTAAACAAACCCCTTAGAGGCCATCAGAGATCACTCTTACCCCTACTTACCCAATCTTCTACAAACATTTATGGGTTTCAAGAAACTTTCCCTCTATCATAGCCTTGGTTCGGGTTGAATTTTTTCACCTGAAGGCGGTTTGTAGCTAAAATTGGTAAATTAAGCAAGGCGAGTGGACCATCTCAACCTTCAGGTAGCACCAGCAGTTTGACCTTTCCGGTGGGCGGGGGGGGGGAAGGGGGACGACGACGGGGGACGGGACAGTGCCGCCTCACTCTCTGCTACGGCCATATTTACCATGGTGGGGTTGGCATCCTAGTTTAAGACATTGCCAGCTTCAAATGGCTCCAATGACTCTGTGTCCCATCCCTGGGCAGTCCCACTAGCTCCGGGGCTTCCTGCCGGAGCTTCCTGCTTGGTTCAGTTTGGAGAGCTGGCACCTTGCCCACTCTGCAATGATAGACCCGCACGGTTCCGCAAGCTTGTTTTGCATCTGTCATTATCTTTTGTATGCAAGGAGGCTTAATGTGCAATAAATGTAAATGGGCAATGTATATGCTGTGTTTTATTGACTCTCATTTGAGGCCGTTGGTGCCAGCAACTGCTCTGCCTCACCAGGATTCATCAGAGGGAACTCCACATTGTTCTCCACTGCTTGTGCTGTCTCGCTTATGAAAGCTGCTTTACCGAGGGTCTGTGCCACCGTCGGGTGGGCGCTCTTCTAGCATTCAGGTGATGGGTATGCCCACATTTCTGAGGCTGTTTAGTGTAATCATCACCCAGATGAGGGAGCCGAGGACCAAGGCATTTGTCACTAGTCCTATGTGTGAACATAGAAATGGGCACAGCCCTGAAAACACATTCTGAGTTCAGGGAATGTCAAAAGCTATTGCTTAGTTAGGAGCATAAATCTTTAACCCCTATGCAAACACTTCTAAAAGACTCAGTCTTGTAATAATTTCATTCACTTGCAAAAGTGTTCAGTATGTTAAATGAAATGATAATTCAATTTATTCTCTCTGTAGGAATCCTCCTAAGGTACATGGGAGTCAGGACTGTTCCTATCCAAAAGGAAATTGAGTCTGTGGGGGTCATGGCAAGAGATTCCAGGGGTATCAGCACTCAAGTCACTGGGTTTAATGTACCTCCTTAAATAGTTACTTTATTACTGGGGTTGCTTCAGCGAGTGCAGAGAAATTGTCATTCTGACTTTTTGGTGAGAATTCAGACTAGCGAATCGATGGAGAATGCGTTTTCTAGGGGAGAGGGAATCCATTAAAGCAAAGCTGTGGGTCCACACAGGAGTACAGGGAACTTACAGTCAAAGTAGTGCAAAGGTCTTACATGAAGAGACCTTCAGATTTTGTTTATTTATTTAATTTACAGATGGGGACTTATCATGTAGCCCTGGCTTACCTTCCAACTAGAGCTCTTTTTGTCTTAGTCTCCAGAGTACTGGGGTTACTGGCATGTGTTACTACCATGCCTGGCTGTGTTTAAGCACTCTTGAATGGATCCTTAGATCTGCTATAAAAATGGTTGTGACATTTTCTGAGTCTCAAATAAGGAAAGAGGATGGGGTATTAGAAGTGCAACAGAGCCCTCCAAGCTCCATGAATGTCTATTGCCGATATTCTATCCCTTCCTAGCACTTGTCAAACACACAGGTCAAATGATTTTA